TGGGAACTTCTTTGTATTTAGGATAAATTTATTTAAAAATCTGTGCACTCAATGACATCATTCACATGTTCAGGATCAAACTGTAGCCAAAAGGAAACCAGCTTTCTTGTAGACCAGGCAATATCTTACATATTTTGTACAGCTCGTAGATATCTATGTAGTCAACACTTGGAGAGAGAATTAGCCAGGTGTTACAACCCCTGAGAAAGATTTACACCTACATTAATAACATAACTCCGATAACCACACTACACTGTATCTTTATGTAGGTAACAAGTTTGAGACGTGGCACAAAAATTTCAGTACTATTGTTAAGATTTGTAAGACACATCTGTTCAGACTGATGACAAAAGATGTTTTTTCAAATGGTGAAGGGCCATACTTGGCTTACCTTCTCATACCCTTTCAAATCTGTTCAAGTAGCACCAAAGGAGATATCCAGACCTGCTACTCCAAGACTTCAAGAAAATTCCAATGTTTGTAACTTCCTCCTCACTCAAATTCTAGCTCATACCCAATAAACAATCAAGCAGACATGACTGACTTCTGTGTCCAGTTCCAATTTTTCCCACCAACGAGGGCAATCCAGCAGCTAAAAATGTGACATCAACTTCAATCCTAAACCCTCATTTAAGCACAAGCACAGTTAGTTGTACCGACATCCTGTCCACTTAGAGTAATTTGAATATGGAGCAACAATTTATTCTCTTACTTACTTTCTCAATTATAGTAAATAAAAAGCAAATAAGAAGTTCTTTTTGGGCTCATACACTTTAGCTGAAGAGTTATAGGGTGTAGCACAGCAAGGCAGTTCCCAATTCAGAGTCATGAGTTTTCCCACAGCAGCATGGCTGCCCTCTGGGCTTCATTGTGGCTATTTTGAACCAGAAGAATTTTGATTTTCTCAGATAGAGATCTCATGACTCAATGATTTAGAGAAAGAAACAATGAATTTACATTTCAAATTTGCTATAAGAAAAAGCATATGTAAAGCTTCAAATTCTCTTATTTTGCTGGGTTTATGTGAACTTTAAATTTAATAAATAGTTTATTATTTGTCACAATCAACTAGTAGCGCATAGCCAGTTGCAGTTTGAGATTATTTTTTTTCCTCCCTGTGCTTCTTTTGACCAAAACTGCAGGCTAGGAGGCAGAAAATGTTATCATATGAGACTGAAGACACAGGATCCACAAAGAGAACCATCAATGAAACATTACCAACACTTCTCCAAAACAGATTATGGTAGTTTCAGCTCAGAGGAGAGGAGTTCAGTTGTTCAGCGTTTGTCCACTAACTTCACAAAGACTACAGGTTCTTATGAGGGCCAGGTTAGAAGTTTTCAGGCATAAACAAACATTTTCATCAAAACAGAATTTTTTTAAGTAGTTTCTGCAATGGTTTATATACTTTTACTGGAGACCACGTGCTTGGTGTTTATTAAGATCATCAATTTAGCAACACAAGCAGAACTGCCTACAGCTGTGTTATTGGGAGGTTACATTCCCCTGTAGTCCTGACAGTACTTGCAGGGGGGTACAACAATATTTGGACTGTTTCCACGCCACAGAAGCTCACTTCTCAACAAAATCTTTTTTAAAAGTGGTCCATAATCTCTTACTGGCAGATTAGGTATCTTACATCTAAATTAATTTACTGTTGAGAACATTAGTCCTTTTTTAATATGTTTGCCTCACAGACAAAGACACTATTAAAAAGTAAAAGATTACTGACCTTTTCAGGAAGGACTAGTGAAGCTGACATTAAAGTGACATGTGATTATAAAGATCATTCCCTACCAAAAAAATGCTGATTTTTTTTCTGTTTTATTCCTTCATTTAAAGACAGACATAAAAGGAAATTAATTCTCTCTTTTATGTCTGTCAATTTGCATCACATGTCTTTTCTTTTTCTAGGCCTGCTTTGTGTGTAATCTTAAATCTTTTACCTTATATGTTTTCAGATGATCAAGACAACATCCTTGGAGTACACAAAAAGCTTATAGTACTGAGTTTTCTTTGTTTTTTTTTTTTAATGCCTTGTTTGGTTTACTATGTTTAATGCTTGTGAAGGGTGACAGTGGGTTTATTGGCATTTAGAAATCTAGTTCTCAAGCAGTAACACTGGCAAAGCAAAAGTTTTAACACTGCAGGCTTGTCCACAAAGCTCTGCCAACACAGCTCAACGCCATCCCATTCTAGTATTTATTATAGTTTCTGCTACACTGCCTAGTGGAGGTGTCAGGTGTGTTTGTATACAGTTTCCCAGATAATTCCTGGAGTCATTTTAGGAAGTCATTTTTATGTCACATTTTTCATTTTCCAATACCGCTACTATCATTGATATTAAATAAAAACTTAGCAGTTCCTTCCCCAGACACAAATTGATATATGATTCCAAGATGAATACATCTGATCATCCCAAATCATTATTGCTAATATTTTTCATCACTGTATTGATAATTTGGTATAAGGCATATTCTCTGTTGGGCCCTCCTTGTGGGAAGTGTTTTGCTGTGGAAAACTTCCCAAGATACCCTCCAGTGAAAAAAAAACCTCTTTACTTTCTCTGTTCTGATTTTGTTATGATTGCTCTTCCCACCCAGCCTTAATTTTCTGTGGATCCTCAGGACTTATTTCATAAATAGTACAGTTAATAATGATTCCTTTTTACCGATTGTTGCTCTAATTCATTTTAGCCTGCCTTAATATGTTTCCACATTTCGTGAGGATTTGTGGTTCTTTCTGTTTCCTTTTTTGAACACAACTTCCTTTGTGTCCATCTTTTTGGAAGCTGCTTTCTGGTTGTTGGTTGTTTTTTTTTTTGTAATTGTCCTACTCTTGCAGTTCAATTGTGTTGGCATCCTTCAGAGCTCGGCCCTGCACTGCAACTAGAGGTGTAAACTATTGTACAAACAGTCCTGCAGCAAACTCCACAGAATGCAATCATAATTCAAACCATGGATTATGGACTTTCAATGCATCCTGTAATTTTATTTTATTCAGAATGTATTCCTACGCTTCTTTCTAAGACCAAAACCAGTATTTAACTGTCCATGCAATAATCACATCCCAAAGCACAGCAAGGAGCACAGAGCTCTCATAGTACACAAAAAAAGATCCTCTACACAATCTTTTGGGATGCGCCAACTCCTTTCCCCAATTCGCTGTTAGTATACTGAATTGAAATTGATAAGTTTACAAACACTACTTGGAATCAAGCCACTATGACTGGTACAAACAAAATTCTAGGACTCTTAAATAATTGGGTGCCACATTTGGCACCGTCCCCCTCACATACAAAGAGCTGCATAGTGGGAGCTTCACTGAATTTGTATCAAAAGGATGCCTGAAGAAAGTATCTGATTAATAACAAGGACATGTAAGAGAAAGTATTTGCACAGAAGAGAAATTATTTTCTGAGGTAACAAATGCACACTTCAAATGGGAATTAAAACAAAATCACATAACTCAGAGGGACTAGTGTAGAGCATGTGGGTTTGCAAGGAAGTTGCTACAGTACTAAACATAGAGAGCCTGGTAGAAGACTGTCATGAAAACATACTGTGTGCTCTATTACACTCTGCTTTAAGACAGCTTCATTATGTGTTTTTACACAGAATTCTTTGTACAGTTCAAGAAAGAAAATAACACTGCTACAAATCACAGGCATTTTCTCTGCATCTTATGCCTCTAAGCTTTTCTCTGCTGAGTCATGTCATCTGACTGGTCACACAAGAATACACGTCAGCTTGAAGCTTGTCATGGAGCTGATTAAAGACTTTTTTTGAAGGAGTTGAAGCTAATGTGCTTAAGCTATTGAACAAAAATGTCATATATGCTCTTCATGTGCACTTTGTTCTCCATATTAAATCATATGCATCATAGATCTTTAAGGACAAAATTACTGATGCACAGCACATGTACTCCTTTAACCACCACAGTTCACCCTAGAAAAGTATTATCAAATATAGGAGTTCCTAAGACTATAGAAAGGAAATTATCATGCTCTATTTTCTTCTGATATTAAGTTGTCATGTCTCAGGGATTTTTTTCCCCCATAATGATTTAATCTTGTTGAAAATGTTGGCTCCATATCCTGTTGATGGTGCACTCTCGTAATTGGACTAAGTTTCCAAAGTGTTTTTTTTAACTCTTGTAGGCTCTAAATTTTATGTCCAGCAACACTTTACAAAATTCACGACTGACTCCAATTTTATCAGTGCTTTCTACTTCCTACAAGTTTTTGTTTAAGATATACATTTCTTTGTGTGGCTTGTTCCATATTGACAAAGCATGTTTCTGATGGAGGCTGCTCAAGGCAACAGAGATATCTACAGACTCTAAATTTACTTTTCAGCACTGTCATTTTGAATCTTTTAATTAGTTTGGTCTCTTCCCAAGGATCTATTAGATTTAAAATCATACATATGTGAATTACACATGCACAATACAAATTTAATTTGTTTTTGTACTTTGTAGATTTAAAATCACACAAATGTACTTTCACTGGAACCTCGATGTGTTCTTTATCTGACTTAGCACCCATAAGAGCAGCTTGCCCTCCCTGAGGAGACCAAACAAGGACTGCAGTGGCGAGTCCTCACCGATAACACCGATATTGAAAAGCAGCCACGAATGAACAGAAATGACATTTGAGCTGGTTTTCGCTGCACATCCCACCGAGGAAACTTTCCTTGTGCCCTCGGGATAAACAAATACCGGGTAAATTTGGGGTCTCACAGACTCGAGGCATAGGCACTTACTTTCTGGAGCGTTTCCAGGGAAGGGCGTCCCGGAGGAGGGGCGGCCGCCTCAGAGCCCCCGCCCGCCCGTGCGGGGCTGGGGCGCTGCTCGCGCCCCGGCCGCGCTGCCACAGGTCCGTGTGCGGAGCGGGGCGGGCAGGGCAGGGCTCGGGCGAGCCGGGCACACACACACCCGCCTCCCCAACACCCGCGGAGGTGCCGCGGGACCCTCCCGAGCCCGCCCGGGGGACTCCCGCCGCCCCGGTCCCTGCCCGTGCCGGCGGCCGAGGGGCCCCGCAGCCCAGCGGCGCCCGAGGAACCCGCCGCCCCGGCCCGCCCCGCGGGCGATGGAGCCGCCGGCGGCCGCCGCTCGCCAGGTACCGGGGCTGACACCGGGGGGGCGAGGCGGGGGACTCTCCGGGCTCAGCGAGCCCGCCGGCACCGCCTGACCCCTCTCGGCCCGCGTCCGCGGGACGGGCATGGGGTGTGAGGGGCAGCACGGCCGGTTGTGACGGCTGAGCGAGACCGGCCGCTGGAACGTCCCCTCCGCGGCCGAGCCGGAGGCAGCGATGGCCTCTTCATCTCTGCTCGGTTGTCCCCGAACTCGTACGAGGGAAAAAGAGTCATAGGTACCACGGAGGGGAAAAAATGCGTTCTGAGGGGCTTTATCCTTGTGATGCAGGGGAAGGGCGGCTGCTGGGCACGGCTGAAATTCGGTGTCGAGTGAGGACCAGGGCGTGAGCGTGGTCCGGCCGTGCCCCATCATCTCCTGCCGTGCCCGGCGCTGTCGGTGCCATAGCGGGTGGCCCCAGGAGAGGACCTTGCGAGAGACAAACGCCTCCTGTTCCCTGTCCCGCAGCCTCCTGCGTTGCACAGCTCTCCAGCCGGGCTCCCAGCAGACGTCCCTCCCCATCTGCAGGCCAGGTGCACTCTCGAGAGCGCTACCGGAGCCGTTTCACCTATGTCACAACTTCTGTTGTCCTTTCTTCTCCTTTTTTGCCCATTTAAATGGGTCCCTTCCAAGTGGGGAAGGGACCAGGACTGTGCAATTCACATTGTGTTCTTTTCTTGTAGCCGCTGAAGAGAGGGAACTGGACTGTTCTAGTTCAGTGCAATTCCACATGTACAGTGCTGTAAGTAGCAGAGGGCATTAAAATTTCAGGAGAGAATGACAGGGATGCTCCTGCTGCTGAAATCAGTAGTGAAATAAAAATGTAGCACCAGTAAGTCTAGTTAAGAAACAGCTGAGGGAGAATGCTACTTATGAAACTGCATGTGATATGAAGAAGATACGAATTGGTGCTTAGTTTGTCTGTGATGAAACAAAAATTTGTGGGACACCAGGTGGATATACGTAATGGTAGATTCAGAACAAAGAAAAATACCTGTCTGTTTACATGATGCATAGTTAAAACCTGGCATTCACTGCCACATGACACTGCAGATGCTAAAAATTATACATGGTTTCAAAAAAGGGAAAATTCAAATCCATTAAGGGATGTGATGCACCAAGAACACATCTATTTTGGGAAATCCAGAATACACAAACTGAGAAAAGCTGGGACAGGAAAGTAATTTGCTAACTGACTATTTTCCATGTCCTTATGCTCTTCCCTAGGCGCCTTCCACGGTCACTCTCAGAAATGGGATACCAGCTTATACTGGCCTTCGATCTGAGCCACTATTACTCTTATGTTAGTACTGCTTAAGGATTAAAGGTTCCAATTAAATATGTAGCCCTCCTTGAGGCATTTTTATGCTTGTCAGCTTATGCCTCTATCTAGAGATGACTTGGATTTTTCAGTAATTTTTTTTCCAGGAGGATTAATGACAAGCATCTGAGTTTGTACTACCTGCTATATAAGTTAAATAGGCTCCTGCATCCATGAAATAGTGGGTTTACTTTTACTTTACACCGTATTTTGCTTTTGTAGAACACAGGTAGGCATTTTCTTCATTAAATGCATGTTCCTCTTTTGAATTTCACAACTTCAGTTAAAATACTGTCTTTCTAGTGAATAATTCTAAAATGTTCTCTTGACAGTAGAGTGGTGATCTGAGGAGAGGACCACTGCATGCTTATGAAGAAATACTTTATGAAGATAAGAAATTTAGTTTTTGAAGCCACTTGCTACAAATTGTGCTTTGAACTTTGGCTTGTACCAGATTTTCCCACAGAAACTTTCTGGGACTAGCTGATTTTATAGTGTCATTAACTATTCATAATTAACTAAACCACTGAATGGCACAGAAATATTTGAAATACTGGATAAGACCTTGGATTAGAGTATGTTCAAATGTTGGCAAGCTTTACCAGTAACTCTTGAAATTAATTTCATTTCTCTGAATCAGGGGCAATTTTTACTGACTATTCATATTAATCAAAGTAGTTTCAAAAATACTTTGATTCACATTTCTGCCTTTGATTGTGACTAAAAAGCTCTTTGTTTAGCTGCCTACCTCTGAGTTTATATACATTTCTGTCCTTCCACTTATTATTTTTCAGAGAAGAATTACAGAAGATTATGGGTCAGACTTATACAGGAATTAGATGCCTAATACCCCTTTGATTTCTCACTGAAAGAAATGGGATTTATATATCAAAATACCTCTACAAATCCAAGTCTATGAAAAGTGGGGTGTTTTTATCTTTCACAGGCTACATGTAAAATCCTTGTTCTCACCTCTTTTTCTCATGTATGGTGTTTTGATTGTCTTCCTGAAATAGGTAGAAACAGATGACCAAATAGCCCTCCTTAGTAAGCCCAGGAAAAAAGGAGGAAACAGTGATCTGGCATCAGCTGCATTTAACATTGTCAATTCAATCATAGGATCAGGCATTATAGGTAAGTCTACTTTCCTTTGCACTCCTGCGTTCAGCCTTGTTTATTCATGCATGACTATCCAGCTTGGAGAATAACACTGTCATCTCACTTTCTGCTGCTGTTTCTAAAGATTTTTCCCTATATTTATTTGCTTACAATACAAAAATGCAGAGGGGTCAGCTGAGATCACATCTCAGTGACAAATACCCCACAGTCTCTTGGCCATAATGATGAGAGAGGTTGGACAGGTGCTGACTGAATTTCATACCTAGAGAACTCTTTGTCACTGAAAATTATCTTTCTGAGGTTATGAAGCATGCTGGTCCAATTTTGGAGATTCCTTGCATTTTTTAAAAAATCTGAGTATTTCTTTATTTTGGTTGTCACAAATAATTATTTGTAAAGGTTTTTATCTAAATCTCTCCTTTTCTTTGCAGGATTGCCATATTCAATGAAGGAAGCTGGTTTTCCTCTAGGAGTGCTACTTTTATTTGTGGTTGCCTACATCACAGGTACTCCAAATGCAGTTTCTGTTTTAAAGGGAAATTTAGTCCTGCAACATTTTGGCTGATCTTGAGCTTAATGATAATTTAAACAAGTATACCTATAAGAGTAAAAATTACTAATTTTTTCCTTTACCTCACTAATCCTTTGAGCAGATTAGTAAAAGTAGAGAATTACACTGTACAACATATAAAGCTGCTTTTTGTGTGCATTTTTTTCATAAAGCCTAGTTTCTTAGACTAGTCAAGGTAACATTTGAAAGAACGTTTTTATTTATGCCTCATTATGGCCTGTTTTAGTCCACTGTTTTTACCCTAATTAAGAGACTGATCCTGGAGTGGGTTGTATATCACTGTTTTTAAATGTACCACAGAATGCAAACCTTTGGTTGTACTATGATTTTGAATATTTTCCTTTCAATATAAACCTGTAACTCCTGGATTTCATGGGTTGAAATATTTTGTGAGATTTCTAATCCCTGATCTTCCCAATGCCACTGTTTTCCTTTTTATAGACTTTCTTTTTTAAGGAGTGAAAGAAGTGAGAAGTAACCAACCACAAGTTGGTTCATATTGTCTTTAACAGTACTTTATATTTTGACAGATTATTCCATTATATTATTGATCAAAGGAGGAAACCTGTCCAGTACCAACACATATCAAGAGCTGGTCAGAAAAACCTATGGTCGTGCAGGTTATATAATTCTTTCAACTCTTCAGTTTTTATATCCATTTATTGGTAAGCTCACATAAAGTATCAATGTTTGAGTTTTATAGGTTTTATTTTTCACATTGCCTCATTGTTTCACTGGTTAAATATTAAGAACTGTGTAAAGAATATACTGTATGTGCCTCTTTATTATTAAAAAAAATATTAAATTTACGCACAGTGTGTTCTGAAGAATTACTGAGGAAGAATTCAATGAATTGGAGGACCAGAATAATAGAAATTAACTGAAATGTAACAGCAGAGAAATTTACGATCACACACGTAAAAATGAACAACAAAAGTAGCTATGAAAAATAACAAAGGAGATTCTGTTCTAGAATGAGTAACAGCACAAAGTTGATGTGCCTGAAACAAAAGGAAAATACAGCTTTAGGAGTATACAGAATTACTGTTTTTTCAGAGATGCAATATTACTGCAATTGGAAAAGCCACTAATCAGCTCTTGCTTGAATATTGTGTGCTGTCATTGTTCTTCAAAAGCATTAGTTCAGCCTCACACTCAATAAGCTACGGGGAAGTAGGGCAGTCAAGACTCCTTTGAAGAGGAAATAGTAAAAGAACAAACAGGTGTAATCTGGGCAGGAATTTATGAGACGAGAAGTTTGAAATAAAGTGATATTCTGAATCTGTCGCTTACAGTAGTAACATGATTAAATCAATTGTTACATAATCTTGATATTTTCACACATGGGGCTGCAAAAGGTGGTGACTTGGGATACCAAGAGTCTGGACTCAGTGACCAGACAGTCTGATTACAGGTAGCTGAGATTTTTAAGGGAGTCAAGTTACTGTTACTGCAGGCAACGATGGTACACACGTAATTATCCCCCTTTGTAAATCAACTACTTTGTAGATAATACGAAAACGAATTGTAAAGATCTCTGTCCTTACCACGGAACTAGTTATGCACCTGTATGTGCTTGAATTTATTTCTGTAAGTAGTGTTAATGACTTACAATTTCACAACAGTGGATATTTATGCATTGAAGTCAGTACCTACATGTATGCTGTCTAAATGTTGAATACCACAGGAGTGTATAAATATAGTTTATTTGTATACACACATATGCACAAATATACACACTTTTAGTGTAGAATTAGACAAGAATGAAATGTGAATGTTAAATCCACAGCACTTATTAATGAGAGAGAGGACTGGAAGTCCATATCTGATATCCGAATGTATTTTCTCCTTTCTTCTGGTGTAAAGATTTGCTAGTTTTTTGCATTAGCTAGAAAGTGCCTTGTGTTTCATTGCAGGGCTTATTTATTAGACTAACACAAGAACTTCACTAAATGGAAACAAGAATTTGAAAAGAAAGTGAGGCCGAATTGCTATTTGAAACAAACTATTTCAAAAAGCCTTTTTTTCCTCTTCTGAAGGAAGTTTATATGGCAAGTCAGCACAATGGCCTTGCATATCAGGCTGGATTATTGCTTAGGTTGTACCTGAAAAAACAAACAAACAAAAAACAAAAACAAAAGAAAAATAAAAGGAAGTGGTTTTTGATTCTATTTTAAACCTGAAACATAAAACTTAATGGTGCTAGCCAGGATTAATATAAGAGGGATAGTGGCATATGATCCTGAAGTCTGCGAAATATGTGTGTTCAGTGTTTATCAACTATTTTGGATATGACTTGTACTAACAAAAGAAAATTATTTTCTTTAAGCTATGATCAGTTACAACATAATTACAGGAGACACTTTAACCAAAGTTTTTCAGAGAATTCCTGGAGGTAAGAGGCATTTAAAAAATTCAGAATGGGGAATTATGTATTGGATAGGAGTGTAGCATAAGTATTTGGGGATTACCTGTTGCTTTGCTTCTAAATTGCTCTTAAATATAGTTCAAGTGAAGAACTTGAAGCCTATGAGTGGGTTTTCTTGACGTTTTTATTTTTTGTTTGTTTCTTTCTGTTTTTGTTCTGAGTTTGTGTTTTCTTTCTTTGTCTCAAAAAGTCTTTAAATAAGTCTTAAATAAAACTCTTAATCTTTGGTTATTAGTGGACTCAGTGTCAGTGAAGAGACCACACGCTTCGGTGAAATACTAAGCAAATAGGAGTGAGTCTTCCACAGTTGTTTATTTACAACACCCTAATTTTTTGTCATCTTTTTTAGATAATTCCTGTAATGGTCATTTGAAGTGCATTGGAAACTGCGCTTCATCTAGTGAATAATTCCGGATGAGTTGCAAATAATATAATGAATTTAATGTAGTAGTTGGTCATGAACTGTGTGTGTAACTTTCAGTTCTCTTAGATATTCACTGCAAAACCAGATGTGGCTTTTGCGCTTTTTAACTCATGCCCTTGTTTCCCTTCCTGTGCTCTAAGTTTTCACAGCAAAATCAGTGGAGCAATTTGTGTGCATGTACCATCTACTTTAGCACAAAGCCAGCTAAGTTAAAACATTCTTCACTGGGAAATTAAACTAAAAACAAACATGTCTGCAATGAAGTAGAAATTAGTATTTCTATGAACTGTTCCATGGGACTAGAATTTTCAGCATGTGAAGCCTGCAAGGTGTGGATGTAGTTTTAACTGTCACACTCTGTTGTTCTGTGAATACTTGATCAAATTGATAGTGACAGTGAATATCAGGATTTATATGTAATATGACTTCTGTAATAGAAGGAACCCCCAGCATGGCAAATCTTTTTACCTGTCTGGTAAAATAGCTGCCTGGAAAGATGTGAGAAAGCATTATAATCTCCCAAAGAAAAGAGCACAGATTTTTGCAAGTCAATTGCCAGTCATTTTCCAGCCATAATTATTCAGCAAGTGTTCATTCAAGCCTAGGGTTTATGGTAGCCTGACTGAACCTGAGATGTGTTTTATTTTAAATTGCCATTGGCTTGAAAAAACCTACAAGTTATACAAATAATTCCAACTGATCGCATGGAATATTATAACATTATTATTGCCTTCACATGGTAATCTGTTTTGCAAGTGGAAGCCAACTGATGGCAAGAAAGGTGCTCAAAAGAAACCTCAAAATTAACTTATTTTAAGATTGTTCTTTAAGATCTGACTTGTCTTCAACAGCCCGGTAATTGAAGTCAACACACAGGGTGAAAAAATCCTCAAGAGTAAATGGCATAAAGAAGTAGTAGTATGTTTTACTTGCAGTTTCTCAACATTGAGCCAGACACAATGAAAGATATTAATACTAATCTATATGTAGGAATGCCAGCCTTTTAAATTTTGGTTTAATGTATCCCATAAATTATGCATTTGGCTTGAATTTGCAGAATTCTCTTGATTATGCACATGGTGTGCATGGCTTCCTAAAGGTTAGTTAATGCGTAGTTTTCAGTGTTACTTAGCTTGAGTAAAGGGGGTAAAAACTTGATCACCAACAGTTTGTTTTTCCTAAACTTTCAAATGTAATTACGTGTTCCTCATGTCAGTCTCTTAAGGAAATAAATTATTTTCTTTTCTCTTTAGTTGGGCTGGATAACGTGCTTACTGACCGTCACTTCATAATTCTTCTTACCACCATCATCTTTACCTTACCCTTATCTTTATATCAAGACATAGCAAAATTGGGAAAGGTAAATCATTACAGTGGTTTATTTTTTTGTATGACATTAGAAAATAAGTGCCAGTCATAACTTAATGTAAATAATCAAAAAATACATTTGCTGCTAAAAGAACAGCCTTTCAGCATCTTACTAACTGAAGTAATATTTTTACCTTTACAGATATCTCTTATTTCTCTGATTTTAACCATTGTCATCCTGATAATTGTGATGGTGAGAACGGTAACCTTCAGTCCACAAGTGTGAGTATTCTTACACTTGCCACAAATTTAATTTTTGATTATGTAATCTGTTAGTTCAGTCTTGCATATATTGCATAATTCTGGAGCATGCCTATTTTGGGACAGACAGATAATTGAAAAAGTTGTATAAATAGTAATATAAAACGAACGGCTAAATATGCTTTATCCTTTTTCTTTTCTTCTTTTGCACGTATGCAAATTTAGAAAAAGTCCCCAAAACACTACAGTTTAATTGGAAATTGTGGATGATATGACTAACAGCAGGTTTGTTTTGAATGGGCATGTGAAGTTGTCTGTAATTTGGGAATTTTTTATTTTGTTCATTTGTCAGATGGCCTATATTTACAACCTGAAGATAGCTAGTATCTTAGGAATACTACTTCTGTGAATATAATAATGTCATAATAAAAATCAAATAGAAATAATGAAAATTTTAAAAAATGAACACAATAATAAAAAATTTATTTTGTCATTTGAGAAAAGCGTGCAAAACTTTTCCAGCACTCATACTCTAAAAGTAAAGTTTAACATTAGACATTGGAGTGTTCTAGACAATTTAGTACACGTAAGTATATGTTGTGACAATATTTTTGTAATTATATTGCAAGAAAGTGTTATGAATCTTTTCTTCTTCTTTAATGGCCTAGAAGAGCTGTCTTTTTCTTCATCCTTTAAATGTGAAAATATAATAAAGATGAAAACCTCTCCTTCTGAATGTGCTGTTTTATTTATTGGAACAGGTTTATATGGTATGTCTTATGTGCCTGTAAGAAGTGGATCCTTCCACCAGGATTGTTTCAACACTGTTATGCATAATTGTTCATTTGTTTTACTGCTGTGATACGTGGGTTAATTGCAGAGTGTTCAGGTTTAATGCTAGGAAGATGCCTAGAATAGCAGTTTCTAGAGTTGTCCCAGATGATGTTGTCTATCATCCACAAAATGACGCACTCAGAACAGTGTGGGACTTTCCTCCCCACCATCTTTCTGAAGCAGTGTTTTTCATACTGTGTGTTGAAGGGGTATTTGAAAGGTTAATCTCAAAATCCCCTGTCAAAAAAGCAAGAAGCTATATATAATAGTTACTGATGACCTTGTTACTATGGTAACGTTTCTTCTGCACAGTTGTGATGCACTGAAAAATAAGGAATGCATGGTTTTATTTTTTCTTACAATAAGTAATGTTGGGGTTTGGGTGATTCTTGAAGTTTTACTTTTTAATTCTTCAGGGACTTTCATTCTTGCCTTTACACTTCTTGTTTTCAAAAATGCATCTAGCAAGTTGATAAAATGTTTGTCAGAATTTTTTTTCCTTGCAAACATTTTGTTAATGTCTGCATTTTCGGCTTTTACTATTTTTACAATATTTATTTTACAGTTAGGTATAAACATGTATGTTAATTATTAAAACTCTCTTCTATTATTTTGTTAGTTATATAGTGCTATACCATCTCTCATTTTTGCTATGAGAATAAAGACCACTGTTTTATTTTAATATGGGTCTGATCAAATTACAAATGAAACAAGCGAATTAACACATTTATTGTGAATCCTTATTAAAATACAATATAATTTGGAGTTTCCAAAGAGGCTTGATTGGGCCAAGAATATTTAATCCCTACAGTTCTTATATGGCTGAACTGATTATATGGCTGCCATAAGGTCATTTATTCTTGGTAATTCCAAGGTTTCCCATTCCAGTTCTGATGCATTCTTCCTAAATGTGTATTGCATGTCTCTTACTCCATTTTATATAGGTTGCTTCTTGGCCTAACCACAGTGGAGAAGGACAGCAAACTGCTCATTCTTTTTCAAATTCTTGAAAAACACCAGTAAAAAGTTGTAACTTGTTCCAGTTTGGGGATCCTTTCAATAGACTAAACAAACACAGTTCCTTTAGTGTTTTATCTTTTTGTTGTTTCCTGTGCTCCTCATCATGCTCAATGGCTGCCTTAAGTTTTCTGCAGATAAAAGTGAGATCATGATGCCCCAGCTGCCTGTGGTATTCCCTCTGAGAAGCAGAGAAGAAAGATTGATGTATCTTAAATGCAAGTGTCTTGAGATCCCTTTCAACTGTGTTGTTTGGGAGTTGCCACACTTCTGTTTATACAATTTAATTTGATGTTTGTTTTTTTGGAAAGTAGCATGATATTGTGGATGGGCCTTGAGTTTGCAGTCTGGTAGAAGTACCAAGTCATTCTCTGCAGAACTGTGAGGTGGTGAATTTGTCTTTCTTTTATTCTGTTCTCATGAAATTTGGGATTTCCCCCCAGCCTCCAACCCTGTTTTTGCAAAGCCTTTCTTTTTGCCTGCATAACTGTAGAATTTGTCATTACAAAATTGAATGCTACTTTGTCAGATGATTTCTTCATTTCCCAACATATTTATGATTTTTCTTTTTTCATCCCATTCTCTATCATCCTTGTGTTAACTGTACATTTCATACTTTCTGTTAAGGACACTTCTTGCTTTTTTTTCTGTTGTTCAAGTTACTGCTGAACACATTAAAAAATACTGGACTCAGGTCAGGTTCCACAGGAATCCCATGTGGATATCTTCCCATTTTGATAATTACTAAGAAGTAATGAGTTTTCACTTACCTTTAGATTTTTTAAAATGAAGATTGCTTCCCTTTGAGAGGTCCAAGAAGATTATCTGGAGATGATAAAACTTTTTTTGCTTAAATGCAATCCATGCTCCAGTTGAAAATTAAACTTATTATTTAAATAACACAGAATATTTTTGTCAATATGAAACCCTCTGTGACATTTTTAGTTTTTTTCCTTTTATAACAAATATCAAACTGAGAAACTGAGGTACTTTTTTTTTTTCAGTTTTGCTTTTGATTACTATCATCCATATGATTATTGTTGCCTGAATGACATAATGAACCTGTAGATAAAATCCAGTGTTCTGGATTACTCAGAGTTTACTCTCAGTATTTCAAGATGTTGGATAAAACTACATTTTGATGATCTGATCATTATTTCCACCTGCTTATAGCTGGTGATCAAAAACAATAGGTTAGAACTATCTCAAACTGTAAATGTACAGTATGTTAATACTGCATAAAATAGTTTCAGCTTTGAAACATGAAGTTAACATTCATTGCTGTAAAAAGAAATATTTTATGTTTATACTATAAAGGTGGATCGTTTTAATTTAATTTGGCATTCTTTTACAAAGAATGTCCTGATGTCAGTGTCTACATAGTACATAAATCTCTAGGAAAAGCTTCAAGAGCATCTGCTACATGTAAAGAGGATGTGAGAATTACTCAACTAGCAGCTGATCATAGGGATGAAACACCAAGTGCTCAGGAAAAAAACATGAAAGTGGAAAGTTGATTCTTTCCTTCATATAAAAAAATTCATTAGTAAGCAAAGGTAAACTTTTATGTGTGATGAAATTAAAAAATAAATCTAAGCTCCCATATATTTACAGTACTGCTAAGTAATTCATTAAGGAAGAAAGAAGAATTAAAACACCTGTAAATAAGTGAGGCTGACATAATAGCTTTTCCTTGTCTGTGTTCTTTCACAAGATGACTTTGATTAATATAAAATACAAGGCTGATGTGGGCTGTATTCATTTTCCTTCTCTTATATTGATTGAAGGCATATTCAGCATCTATAAAGTTCTCAATATCTTTAAACCTCTAAAGCTTAAAAAGAACTAAAAAGGTCTTTTACCTTAGAATAGAATGAAATTGAAATTTTACAGTTAATTTCCTAAAGGTCTAAATAATTGAATTGAACCTGAATTAATCTGTGAGATGTTTCTGGATTGACTGCCTGTTTTTATCTAAACTTGGTGGTTTGTCCCTGATCTTCAATCCAAACCAATGGAAGTCTTTCACGCATTCCAACATGTAGCTCCCCTGCCAAAAATATGACTTTGTGCCTCTGTAGGAATTAACTTTTTTTTCAGTCAATATTCCATACCCACAAAATGGGTTGAGATCAGGGATATGTGTTTTTCTTGCCTCCCTTAAAGATGTTTTGCTTCTCATGCACTCTGCTGCTGTATTATATTTGGCAGTGTTTCTACATAAATGACAGAAAAGATTTTTGCATAACATGGATAGATGGGAAATATTATGCTGTAAGTGTTTTACAAGAAGTAGAAGATAGGCAGTTTTAGACTGCCAAACAAATTGGCCCAACTCTCACTCATGGTCTGGGGTGAAATTCCTTTCACCCGGTTAGGATGTTGTAACCTTTGTCTGGTTCATTTGTTCTTTTCATTTCACACTGTTCTTATGTGGATAAACATGAATATTTTCAAAACATTTAGAAGCTTACTAACATGTTTATTATGCCATACTTTCACTCACCTATGCTGAGTAGAGTCTTATCTTCTTAACCTTTAGGCTTTCTTCATCGCTAGGCCTCACTACCTGCAGTCTGTCTTGCTGTTGCCTTAGTTTCAGCTGATATTTTCCTGTCTGGGAACTCCCTTGGACTGCCTTTTTGCTGAATCGTTTATTATTTTTATTCCAAGAATCACAGTTATATAACATCTCAGGCTTTACTTTGTGTTAAAGCTTCTACTATATATGATAGACAGTACAGCTGTCAACAAGGGCATTTAGTATCAAAAATGTATTTCTTCTGTTACTTTTCACTGTTTGATGTAATACTCCTTCTCTGGCCTGAGAAAAGCTTTTCAGTTCATGCAGGCATAGCCTGTGTTTCTATACACTGAGTGAGGAACAGAGGGCTGGCTGGTTTTGTCAATCATGGATTTTTGCAGCTACTGCTATTCTTGTATAGGCAGCAGTTAAAATCTTCCTGTAGCAACCCCTAACAAGAATGTAGGTCAAACTGGTCAGAACAAAGTCCTTCTCAAAAAAAAAAAAAAGTCCTTCTTGAACAGTGGCAGCAGGATTGAAAAAGCCCAGCAGGTGTGATGTTACCCTGTATTCTACACACTCTTTCAGGGGGTGTGTGCATCCGCCTACACAGACGTATACATTTATATCAATGTGTGTATGTTTACCCTGACACTTGATGTTTCCCCTCGGTGCCCTTTGCCTTGTGAGTGGTTTTGTATGATTGTTCACTGTATGGCTTTTCCATAACTAATGCCTATGGTTCCCTGACACAGTTTTCTCTTTCTGACTATGAAGTCTTATTTTATATAAAACACCTTCATGTCACCTGCACCCTTTTCCAGGAGCTTTGCATAAGTCTGTATGTCCTGCAGACTGAACTTGAGGATAATTTCTTACTGGTGTGGTCACAACTCTACAGCTGTTGACTCTCAGAAAGGAAATTTCTTCCTGAGACCTTTCATGATGTGAGATCCCTCTATTCCCACAGTATGAAAATGTTTTTCAAAGCCCATGCAGCAGTATATGAGCTACTGTAGAAAATAGTACGCCTGTACCAACATGCATTGTAGGACATTAAAAGCTGCTGGTTGTGTTTCAATCAGGGATCTGAAATTCTTCCTCTATTCTGCAACTAGAATGGAACGAATTTATCTTCTTAGACTGCTAAATAAGCAGGATTTTGTTCTTTTGGATTTTTTTCCCCCAAATAATACTCCTAATCTGATTTACCATTCATCCCTAAAGTAAAGCTGTATTTTGGTCTGTTGCATATTGCTGGTGCATAATGTAACACTGTGCAGGAGGAAAACTAGCTCCTGTGATTTTTATTTTTTTAATTGATTATTTGGCCACTTTATTCAAAATGTTTCAAATTAAATTCCTGTGCTTTCTGCATTTTCTTTTTTAAAATCCTTATTTGTATGAGCTCAGCTATAATGTTGCATAAGATGTGCCATTTTAACAGAAATTAAATATGTTTCAGACAGAAACATTCTTTATTTCTGTGAATTTAAAAATATTTTAGTTTGTAAGGTATTACATAATCTAATTGTTAATTATTAATATAAAAGGGCTGAAGAAAACTGATAAGTTTTGCTGTCAAAGGATAAAAATAAACCAAATTTTCATTCTGTATGTTTACTAACAAAGCTGACCTCTAGTGGTTACAGAGAGGAACAGTTGTAGTGTTAGTTTTCTATAAGCTATTTTTATTTTCAAATATTATTTACATTTTTCCAATCAATTGCGAATGTTTTACTTAAAAATAATACATTCAGAATTATTTCCATAGGCATTTCTAATGATAGTGATTTGGAATCAGTGGCATAAAGTTAAGGGAGCCTATATAAGGAACTACAGCAGCCAAATAGGGTCAGAAGTCCTATTTCTTTTACAAGACAAATGCCAGATAGCTCTATTTCATCCCTAATATTTATTACATCTACATGCTGAGTCTGAGGAATATTTTAGGAGGACCGTATTCAGCTGCTTAAGACTTGGAGCAGTATGTTACAGCAGTCAAAACAATATACTACGTCTGAGGACAAAGAAAATGAACTTTTTATACCTGAGTTTTGTTCACTTCAAAGTTAAGCTTAGCAACCACAGCTTAAGAGCTGAAAAGGTGGTCTAAGTCTGAACTGAATGTGCTGTAAATATAGGGGGTTTAATATAAAAAGGAAGGATTGACTATTTGAGCACTGAAGAAATAGTAAGATGAGTTCTGAAATAGGAAACAGCATCTTTTTTTTTTCTTTTTCTTCTCTTTCCTTTTTTTTTTTTTTTTTTTTTTTTAATTTTAGGAGCTGGAGGTGGAATTTAAACGTTTGAAAGCCATGAAACCAGGCACAGCATATGCCACTATAGCTGTCAAAGCCAGCTAGTTATCACCAGAGAGAGGGAGAGACAAAGCTGTCATTGTTACCTTCACAGAAATGGCCTGAGTGCCATACTGCTTTCTAGGGCAGTAGGAAAAGAGTAGCTAAGCCTCAGGTGGCAGCAGCTTTCCCTCTAAATAAAAACAGCAATCAAAGTTAGTAGCATCCAACTTTTTTACAAGCAAGTTTCTCTGCATTGTTTTTTGTCTGTGTTTTAATATCACAAATACAATGTTAAACTGGTTTGTGAATGTCATTTGATGTTTTTAGCAAATTGTATTTCTGGAAAAGGATATTTTATGTCTTTCTCCATTTCTTCAGTTTGGTTCTTTATTCAGAGATGATGTTCATGCAGTAAATGTTTTTCAGCAAAGTTCGTTGTTCGTTTTCCATGGTCCTCCTCTAAGCATTACAATTACCAAAACTGTGGTCCAAAACTGTGGGCATCCCTTAAAGAAGGAGATAGGGGGAATATTATATTCTTGCCTGATTATGAAAGTCTCTCTCTTACACTTTCTTTTGTCTTTTGGGAAGTAGCAGAATCTTCTTACTTTGAGGAGTAGGTGGAACTGGTGTAAAGAAAGGTAAACTGCTTTGCTTGATTTGTAGCTTAGGAGAAGATATCTCTAGACTGTATGGATTACATGTGCAAATTCAGAGGCAGAAATTGCCTCTAAATTGTCAGAAGGTGTTTCAGATTGAGATAACCTTAGTCAGAATCAGTAACAGCCTTTGCCTTCCCTGTTGCTATTTCCTGGTATGTGATGACTTGAAGAGTTTATTTACAAAACTGAAATAGGCTGACATTTTTTACTATGAAATCTGGTTACAGAAATACTTGAGTCAAAACAAGGGAGGTGCGAAAGGTACCTCCCCAGTTTAAAGTTGCTGTGAACACTGAGGCCTACTTCAGAGAGTTGTGGAGATCTGACTAGCAGCAGTTCTGTATTACAGCACAATATTTTAAGCAATTTTTAATAACTGATAATTGAAAAGAGGATAATCTATTAAAACAAATGTCTGTTTTAGACCCAAATCAGAAAATGCATGGACATTTGCAAGATCAAATGCAGTACAAGCCATTGGGGTGATGTCATTTGGTAAGTATTTTTTTCTGGTTTTTTCAATATTCAGATCAGCTGTAAGAAATCATTTAATATTTTGGACCAAGAAATTGAATTTTTTATGGTTTGGTTGTTTTGTTTTGTTTTGTTTTGTTTTTTATATATATATATTAATGTTAAGCTGGTGTAGGGAAAAAAAATAAAATTGCCTGAGTCATCCATATGAATTTCGTTTTTATGGTGTAAGACTTTATCCTCATCCATTGCCCCCTGGCAGTTGCCACTGTAGCAGAGACAGAGGTGTGCATGTGAATCCAGCTCATCTTAAAGCACCTGCATCAGTGGGGTTAGTCTAACTCGATAAACTGAGGAGGCTGTGATTGCTCTGCATTCCTTTGGATAACCTCTAGCAGAAAAGTCCTCATTCTGAAATCTGTTCCTGCCTGCAGGATCCGGTATATTATTTCCTGTTACCATCTGAGGCCTCCCAGTGCTTGCTGCTGCCTAAAATGGATGCCATAGGAAGTCTGAAAGTAGCAAATGGCTCTGTGGATTAAAAAAAAAAAATCTCAAATCTGCTGTTGGGTTCTTAAGCAAAAGAAGAGCAGGAAGAGATGGAATGGAGGTGTGGAGGGTGGGAAATGACGTTTAAGGGTAATGTAATCAGAATCAGGATGAATATATATCTTCATCAAATCAACTAAGCAAGTAAAAGTTCTAGCCATTTATCTTTGCCACTTATTGCAGGATTAATGTTTAATAATGAGTAGATTCAAACAGTGCTGTGTGTCTCTATGCGTTTATGCGTGAATTCATACATTTGCTGTAACTGTCCTGTGTGTTTCAGCATTCATCTGCAACCATAACAGCTTCTTAATATATGGGTCTCTGGAAGAACCCACATTAAAGAACTGGTCTCAAGTCACACATGTGTCTGTCTCACTGGCTGTTGTAATCAGTGTCTTGTTTGCTGCATGCGGATATATGACTTTTACAGGATACACAGAAGGTAAACTGCTTGATCCCTCAATTTTGGTGCTTGCTATAATCCTTACATTTCTGCCTTTCTGTCTGACTTTTGACGTAAATACCTTAGTGACTATAAAAAATACAAAAATCAGAGTAGTGTGGATAGAAATGGGATATTCCTCATGGTTACCCAAGAACCAAAATGGGATACAAAAGTGTCAGCTGCATATTAATAGGTGTCAGATTCCCAAGTGTAAGCCTCACTGGTGAAAGTCACCTTTGAATATTTCCATAACCAAAACACTTCTGAGGACTAAAGATCTATGATTTAGCCACATGGTCCAGCAGGAGAGAGCAGGAAGAACAAAAAGATGCCTTGATTTTTCTACAGCGTGTCTGGTCTGTGCTAATATATCTCTGACTGATAGATATTTCCTATCTTTACAACAGCTGTTCTGCTGTAGCTAATCCTACTGTCCCCTTTGTGGGTATATGAATATGCATAAAAGTTGATGTTGCATCATGTTATTTAACATAATTTTGTTGAATTAAAAAAGGTGTGTTCAGAGGAACAAGGCATAAATTTGTTCAGTGCATTACCTTTTCAGGAATAATACACATTTCATAAGCAGGCAGATTTTCTGTTACTTAATAGTGACATTCTAGACTGTAGAAGGCTTCCAAGCTTTTTCCTTTTCTAATGAGCAGTTGCATGTAGTTGAGAACACAGGAATTGTATGATGGGGGTTACTGCTTGATCTGTCCTTTTCTCCTGCCTCCAGTCCTTACTCCAGCAGAGTAAGTTACTGTCCTAAATGTCCTAGATATACTAGCTAGACTAAGTGCAGGCTAGCTAAGACATTTAAAATTTGCAAAGCTCGGACTGCAGCTGACCCTCAGCATACGACTCTAGTGTTAGCAGGTTCCACATTACCTTGTCTCCCCATCCACACCTTTTGGCTGTTTTCTGTAAAGTACACCTTATTGCTTCTTCAGTGCCATAGTGAGCATAAAATTAGTAAGTCTTGAGACAGTATTGTAGTTGGATAGAAAAGACCTGATGGGTCATCTCATCGCTGTGTTGCACTGTCTCTTGTGCCTCAGAGTTCATTATTAGAGATTCCTTGTGGTAAATGCTAAGCAAGATGATGATTTGAATTCTTTAGTAATGCTTTTGTTGTTAGATATAAGATTTGCTAGGTAATGATCCATATATTTATAATGGGCTTTTGGGGTCAGAATATTTGAAGTTATTCACTACAGCTTACCAGGGAAATGCAATTCTCCAGAGATAACTCCCTGGTCTTCCTTATGTAATTGTTGTTCTAGGAGATACATTTCCTCTAAAAATGTATGTTTTACACACAACTTTTCTTTCTGAATCTGTCACATGTTTATTTAAACAAACACCAGCATGTCACACAAAATCTGTGTTAAGGGGAGGATAACAGATGACAAACTCTGATATGCATATTTTAAAATATTTTTTAAAGATAAATGCTACTTCAGAGAAAAACACTGCTACTAGCAATGTAAGCTTAAAGTTCCTCCTGGATACAACTTGTGACTATAACTGCAATTTCTTGATTATGTGTCTGGAGAGGGGATCAGAAAATCTCAATTACTCCAGTAACTCCAGTAACATGGAATTCAATTTGCAAATAGGCATATGATGTGAAGTTCAAGCTAATTATGTTTTGCTGTGCCTTAGGAGATATATTTGAAAACTACTGTAGAGATGACAACCTTGCTACATTTGGAAGGTTTTGTTATGGAATTACTGTAATTCTGACCTTCCCCCTTGAATGTTTTGTGACCAGAGAGGTAAGATTGTATTACATTTTCCATTTAACAGTGTTGTTATATATTAATAATATTCTTACATGATTAATACGTATTGTAGCTGAAGTCTATGGTTGATCTGTAGTAAATATCACCATATTTTATCCTGATACATGCAATGAATGTGAGGGACTAGCTATACTCTTTAGACACTGGCCATGTAATGTTGCATTACATTCATTATAATATTACCCAACATTATATTAATAATTACTTAATAATATCAGGACTGCTTAAAATTCCAAGTTTGGCATAAATGCCACTGTTGTTACTATGTTGAGAATAGCCAAAAATAGCATACTTTTCATGCTTAATAGTTTGTCTTTTTTTAGAAGCATCTCTGTCTAGGAAATCCGTCTGTTCAATAACTAATTGTAAGTTGGTTTTATTCTGTAGTGGGCAAATGAGAAGAAAGTTAAGTATCGTCTAAATCCTACAGGTATAACTAAGTCAGTCTTGGAAGTGTTCAGCAATTTTAGTAATGCTTGTTACAAGTTAGTTTTGGAAGTAGATGGAGATGTTTCCTTGAAGCAAGATAAGTAAAATTCAGTTTATTCTCACACATTTGTTTAGTTTCCTAAGGTTAAAAGATTTGAAAAAATCTGTTTGATAACACAAAGAGCAAACACAAGGTTAAAAATTGTGGTTCTGTTTCAGGTGATTGCCAATGTGTTTTTCCATGGGAACCTCTCAACAGTTTTCCATATTGTTGTGACAGTAGTTATCGTTGCTGTAGCGACTGGTGTATCGTTAGTGTATGATTGCCTTGGAATAGTTTTAGAGCTGAATGTAAGTGAACCTCTATACTCTTTTATTTTAAAAAATCACTTTTTAATAAAACAGAACACTGTAAAATCCACAGCTCTACTGAAAATCTTACATAATTTGATGTAGTAGTCAGTAGTAATGTTAGTAGGAAAAAAAGAAATTATTCGCTGCTTCAAAATCCAATAACAAAGGAGAAAGGAGGTTCAGGAGGTAAAGTTCATATGACTGGGGAGGGCTTTTAGAACAGTTTTGGAGATATGGCAAATGGCTATGACTGAACAAATGTATTTGAACTGCAGTAAAAATCACTGACATACTCATCCAACCTGTATAGTGATACTGAATCTAGCATTTCTTTCCCTAGTCTCTACCTCTGATGAAGTTGGCAAATTACTAAACACTGAGACAGATCCTACTGACTGCGTTGTGCCAAAGGGGCAAAAAAAAAAGAAGAGTGTAGAAGGAAAGAACCAGTAGTAGTCAAACCAGAGAGATAGTAACTAAGTAATTAAGTATGTGCATACAAACAAACACCCATTCGGGCCAAATATACAAATACTTCCAAAGCAAGCATTCCATCAATGCAGTATTTTTTTGCCTAAGCAATTACTCAATAGTGAAGCTGATATTTAAAAACTAGGTTTTTGTTCTTCACATCTAAATATACATGCTTACAAGGTTTTTTTCTATTGTTGTTTCCCACATGCAGGGAGTTCTGAGTGCTACCCCACTTGTTTTTATCATCCCATCAGCATGTTACCTGAAGCTGTCCAAGGAGCGATGGAACCATTCTGATAACCTCATATCCGGCCTGATTCTTGCTCTTGGTGTGCTAGTGATGGCAGTTGGGTTTGTTATGACTGTCTTGCACCCCCAGGAGTGTAGCCATGGAAAAGAAATGTTCTACTGCTTCCCTAGTAATGTTTCTGTTCACAACAGTACACTGCCACCATAGGTAGCACACCAGTCTCCAGACTGGATCAGGTACATCTCGCGGTGAGCCACACATGCCAGTTTAAAGGAGGGTGGAACAAAGAGCTTTGATAGTTTGATATGCACTAAGAATTTTAAACTATATAACTGTATTTATGTACTTGATTTTATGCTGCCATCCTTTCCCAGGTAAGACTTGAGTTTTAACTATGGAAACACAAATTCTCAGAGGTGCCTTTCAGTAGACATTACTTGAATAACTTGCAAGCCTAAGAAAAAGGTTGCATTTTTTTAACTTGGTCTGCAATGCTGTTTAAAAGCTAGAAATTAAATGTTCTGGAATGTAAACAACTCCCATGTTTCATTGATTTAATTTAATTTTTATTAATTTTATAATCTTTTCATGTATATTTATTAGCACACTATAGTATAGGACTTTTTGAAGTCCTGGGGAAAAATATGTCTGGATCTCTGTGTATTAAAATTCTGCTGTTAAACTGAAAGACCCTTATTAATTCTGTCTTTGATTTTGCAATAACTGCCCTTAAGTGCTGAAAGCTTTCCTTATAGTGGCTCTTAAGTCAAGGACAATTTTGTATTCTGACTGAACTGTAACTGACACAATTTAATTGTGACTGCTACAATTTGTGGTCTTCTAATTAAAAGATATTGCATAAATAAATCCACGGAGGTGAATTGAAAAAGATTGTACTAGGCTATCATTGTAAAAATTTAAAGATTGACAGAGAAAAAATTACATGCGTAACAAACACAGTTTGATTCTTACATTTATAACCCCATTTATTATTTCTGAAACTGAAATGAAAATGTTGTACGTCAGGCATGTGCAGCTTGAGCGAATGCTGTGAGAAGACATTCTAAACTTGATTATCATTCTACTCCTCTGATTCTTTTCAGTATATGACTGTTCATTTTGTCATGGTTTGTCAAATTTTGGTGAATTATGTTTTCCAAAATTCATGTAACATCAAGGATTCATATATATATATGTATGTGTATATTTATGTATGTATATACACATATATATTTATAAATAGACTTACATATGCCTTTAGAATATGAATAATTTGAAATTGAGTAATACAAGTATCCTCAGTCATATCAGTGCTGGGATTCTGCAAATGTCTTGTTATCAAATCAAACTGTATACTTTGAGTTAATTTTTGCATTATTGTGGTCATTGTGGTTCCTCTTGCCAACTAGATATAAAAGGCTGTTTCATTTTTTTGCTGCTTAATGGAGATTGATTTTGTCTTCATTTCATAGTGCATGACAAAGGTATTTCATTCAAGACTTCTACCTAAGTAGATCTTTAAGCAAGAGTCAGTAGATGGCGATAATACTTTTAAGAATAATACCCTTTTTAAAAGTAGTGTTTCCAAAATGAATGTTTTAAGTAATAGTGGGTTTTTTTTAGGGTGATGGGGGTTTTTTGTTTTGTTTGGTTTATTTGTTTTGTTTGGGGTTTTTTTAAGTTGTAAAGCAATTAGAGAGAACTGTGAGTGTTACTCTGCTTTAATTTCCTTATGTAGAGTCAGGTTTGACGGTGATAATTTTTCTGTTGTCCACATACCTGATACAGTTGACAGTATATTTTTCACCAGTTTTGGTAAAGCAGTAGCTGATTTTGTCTTAGCTGTGGATGAGATTCACTTGCTTCTATGCCAAATGGAGTTAAACCTAAATAATGTTTCCTTGTGACAGCTCATTGATGAATCAAAAATCTCTCATGAGCTTAATTTTCTTTTTTTTTCTGATTTTTTTCACTGTTGAAGTGTGTTACCTTGTTTCAAGTATCCATTATAAGTTGTCTTTGCTTTAGAGTGTCAGTGAAATAATTTATAACGTGTTGTAGTATTGCCTGTTCAATTTAAACACTCTGCTGAGGCTGTGTTGATATTAAATCGTGTTTGCATGTCCTTTATGAAGGATTAGTCTTTCTGTTCTTTTCTACTTTACAAATGCAAATTTAAAGAAAATTTGTTTAATTATTCTTTCTAATTTGTAAAGTGTAAAGTCTGAGATAATACTGGTCAGTTAAATGTTTTCATTGCTGATAAAGCTTCTTGTGCTCTTAGAAGATTATTTTGCCAAAAATAATTGCATTCCTGTAATCATATGCTCAGTGGTTTTTGTTCATGAATTTTCCAGGTGATGATAGGGCTCTCCCAGCCAACAAAGGGAAGTCAGGTGTCATGGATACCATAAAGTTAACTGCTATTTGGGTAATGGATTTATAAAAGCCATGGTCACTTCCTTTCCAGTATTGCATAGTGCAGCTTCATTGAAATGACAAATAACAGCACCCTGCTATATACTTTCTTAAGGTCTAGGAGGTCTGAATACAGAAAGAAGCACCTTTTTATTTAATAAGGAAAACTGTGATAGCCAGTGTTTTTTTGAAACCCCGAAAATAAATTTGTAGATATTACTAAAGCAATGCATTTAGTATTTAAGCATATAAAAAGAAAGTTGTTATAAATATGACAGTAAGTCAGTCTTGATGATATAGAAAAGAAAGATACATAAACTTAACAGGAGACATTATGGCAGAGTATAATCAAAATAAATAATTACTGGTGAATATACTTAAATTAGGCTAAAGTGTCTTTCTGTGACTAAAAAAAATATAAGGCAAAAGCAGCACTTTACAGCCTGATAGTTTTAGTGTAGCTCAATGAGAATGAATGAAACCTGGTTACCCCTATATTATACTGTTGGACTTCGCAGTGATTTGCAGTGAAGAGTCTGCTTTAGGTTTGTAGTTGTAAAGGTTTGGTTGGAAAGCTGGAGGTATGTAGAACTGCTTAGTTACTGAACAAACCACAACCCCTGGCTCTTTATATTTCAGTACAATAAAGTTTTCTTTTTCATCTCAGTAATTTTCAGATTTTTATCTTGTTTGGTCTGGTTAACATTGCAGACTGGGGTTTGCTCTAACTTTGTAAAATCCATTGGGAACCTCTCACTGGCCTCAGCATGTGCAGGATCTCACCATCAAGCAGAGATGTGCTGGGCACAGAAGTGGAAGGAGTCCTGGGAGCAGCAATATTCCCAACTCCAAATGCTCTGTGGTAACAGAACGTCATGGAGTCCATGCAGAGGGAGAACAGTGAAGTTCCACAAGTGCTTGCTGGCAGGATTTTCACATGAAAAGCTGTGACTCACAATTTCTCCAAGTCCCTTTCTCCAGCTGAGAAGGCATTTCAGGTCACCAGCTGTACAATTGCCATTCTCACAGGAGCTAAGCAGACAATTTTTGACTTTCTAGAGCAGTGTGCTTCTTGTCAATCTCAGACTTCTACACATTCACAAAATACTTCCTCCTGAAAGTCTTTCGGATGACCAAACCCCATGTATTACCTTGGACTCCCTAGAGAATTTTTCTTCCTCCTCAAGTTTCTCTGTGGAGCGGGGAGGAAAATGGTTCAGGTTTGCTAAATGGACATAATTCCATATATTTTTCACACACAACACTTTTATATCTCATATTACACACATCTGGATCTGATAGGGGAGGGATATTTATCTATTTAATAGACACACTGTTTAGTATTTGCAACTCTTTGGCAACCAAAACTTACATGTAGTGTGAGGATGTGTTCAGATGCTGCTGTGAACACTGAGTAGACATAAGGGGGAGATACAAAAGTTGCAGACTAAAGAAGTGTATTGTGAGTGAAAAACATGAGATTGAACACATTCCCATAGGAGGAATGAGGGAGAAATCGAAAACCAAACATAATGCACAGAAGAGTTATATTCTTATAGTAGTTCTATTACCTGGAGATTTAATTTTAAAAGGAATTCTCAAGTTTCAGCCTAGGAAGTGTGTTGCAACAGTTGTTTGATTTTTTTTTTTTTAATTAGTGTAAATTCTAAAACGTACAAGGTTTTAATTCAGGTCAGTGAAGGAAATAAGAAGAAGCTTTCCAGTTTCTGCCATTCCATGCTATTGGAGAAGATGAGACTAAGGTACGTGCTTTCCACTCTTTCATAAATGGGATGTAATTTCATTTAGGTTTTAGAAGAGCAGGCCTCAGTGGTGAAATGCAAATATATAATTGATGTCATATCAAATTGTTGGTGGGCTCTGTTGTACTTATCCCAGCTATGAGAAAAGCATGTGGATGCAGCAGCCTGAAACCAGCACACTGGGAGAGAGGAAGGAGATCTAGAGCATAGAGGTATGAAGCACTGTCAATTTTCTTAATTTAGGTCAGCTGCAAAAGCAGTGGAAAGCAATGGCAAAGCACACATTTCTTTCTTGCAGTTCCTCCTTTCAGCTCTGTGCTTCCAGGCTATTGTATTAAGTGATTTACAGGACACTGTAATAGGAAAAGACCATGAGAGTGAGTGAGCTGGATGAGTATTCTAACTTTGTAGGTAGAGACGAGTATGAGGAGCTTTAACAGAGAGGGAATGGTGTAGCTGTGGATCCCGTGGATCTGCAGGTGACTGAAGGCCCACGCCATTTTATTTCATGGAGAAGTTACTCATTGTGAAACTGAACAGGAGAACAAATTTCATTTCTTGCACATGAAAAATACAGGTAACATTATATAGAGAGTTTGTTGTTTTAAATAAAGAATGAATATTTTTATCTACTTTCTGGGAATATGCAATCTTGTATTATCTAAGAATAACAACAGAAGGATATTAACAATTCTGCTTGCTGTAAACCAATTCAATCTTCTGGAATTGATTTAGCCACCTCTGTCTGCTCTGAAGTACACAGCAACCATTGACTGAAAGGGCAGGGAGATGCAGAAATACGCAAGGAAAATTGAAACTAGTCTTTCACTTTGGCAGCTTCTGCTGTTATCAAACACCAGCTGAACCAGGAAATCAACATAAGCATTCAAAATGCAAATCTTCAATAGGTAGAAATACTGTTTACTATACACAATCAATCTGTAAAAATAAAGAACTGTGGACTTCTCGGAGCAGAATTTGTTCTAAAAGATTTTCTGAGTTCTGTTGCTTGCTACTTTGTATTATTAATTGCTGATAGTCTGTTCCCACCTTCTTTTATTAGAGTGCAGTTCTTCCTTAGATGGATGTTCTATTGTAATTTTTTTCCTTGGAAGACTGTGAAACTTGTAGGGTGCTTCCAAGAGGGTTTATATCTTGGAACTAAAGCAGGATGCAAAAAGAAAAACATCCTGAAACTTCAGTAGAGCATCAAAAGAGGAGCCTCCTAGAACTGAGGAAGGAACTTTGTTGAAAATTTGCACATATTCCCAACTGATGGTTAATGCTTCCAAAACTAGAGCCAAGAAAAACCCCAACATTGTGCTGGTTGTGCTATAGTTAGATGTAAGCTGGGAACTCACAACAGTATTTTAACAATGTAAATTGCATTACCATGGACTGTGTTTTTTAATCGTTGAGATAAGAATGTTTTACAAGTGATTATTGGTTATGATGAGATTTACTAACCTGTGCAACAGCTTCTGTCCATCCTGTAATAAGTGGAATAGCTCTAGTGTAGAATTATAAAATAACATATCCCACGCATCAGGATGTCAGTAGGTGCTAGACAGAGTATCATGGGACTGCTACAAATTTATGAAGGATATCACTGTGAGCCACGAGAAAGAAGTTGTTAGTGTGAGAAGATGAAGTAAACTAGATACAAACAGGCAACTGGATAAGCTGTTGTGTTAAAATGTTTATAAATTTTCCTTCTCTATAGAACAATGATAAATAAAAAGTTGTCTATGTATTTTCATTGTAGTATACCTACTTTTTTTTTTTTTTAAAACAAAACAAAACAAAACACAATCAAATCTTTTAAGTGCTGTTCTGGAAATGCAAAAATTATGTCTTAATTGGAATAATGTCCTAAAGGAATTGCAGAAACATTTCTACTTAGGTTATTCCAAGATCTTCACTTTTGGATTAACTCTACTACCAGTACACTTGTAAATGAAAGTCTGTACCAATGTCCTTGGGATTCCTGCAAATTATCAATGGATATTAATAATTGATTGCATTTTTTCTTTTTAGAATCATCTTGATCCAGACCAACAACTTGGGTTTTCTTCTTCTGTATGAAGTGTTAATTTTCCTTGAAGTATTAAGCATATTTCAATGTTGAAAAGACTCATTCACGAACTGCAGCCTTCTGCATGCTCTTTTACTTGGATTTAAATTTTTATGAGCCTCCACAAGACTCCAAAGTCTCAGTTATGAACATGTGTGGTTAACTAAAAATGCAGAAGTGGTCCTATTTGCTTCAACAGGAAAATAAGAAAAAAGCTTTAAGTGTGTGTTGGAATATTGTAGGAATCAAGATTTTATTCTGACAGCAGTCTACTGTGAAATATTGATCATTACACAAACTATATCTACACTGGTTAAAATATTTTGGGCAGTAGACAAAGTACTTGGGGGATATAAATAAGCAATTCAATCGGTAATTTTTAGTGACTGTTCAAAAATGAGACAAATAAGTAAATGTTTAGCAGATCAATAGACTGGCATTTTATATCTAGGCCTTGAAAGCTGTATCTTCAGTTTGATACTGAACCTATCTTTACTTTATTTTATGTTTAAAAAAAACCCCTTTAGTTCATTATGTGGTATTTAAATATATTTGTCAGAAGTGTGGGAAGAAAGTTTTAAGATTCAAATGTCCTCATCTAAACTGGACACTAGAAGGCAATTCAAACTGGAAATCGATTATCTTTAACAGAAAGCAATTACTGCCTTTTTTTTTTTAATATATTACAAAATGTTTTGATATGTGTAAGTTAAGCAAATATGTATTTAGAATCCTAGGGAGAAGGAGGAAAGAACAGAGCTCCAAATTTTTAAAGTTAGCCCTGCCAGAATCCAGGCTCCTAACATAGGACATTTTCATCCTGTCCTAGAGGAAATGTGAGGAAAAAGGAGAAAGACAAGAAAAACAGATGGCACTGTACTGCTAGGAACAAGAGGTGAGCAAGAAATAATCATGATGATGAATTTGAGGATGAGGTTCTGTCTTTGTAGGTTTCTCTACAACTTTTTGCAGTTCTGAGAATCTGCAAGAAATAAAATATTGCAGTGATATTTCTTCTTGCTGACAAGAGTTGTGGTAAGGGTGACATATGGTATGTTAAGAGAAAACAGTGGCCAAGTTGCTTTCATTTCCAATATACTTTAGAAACCTTTTCAGCATAAAAACATCACTGTGACAAGGTTGTCTCAACTAATGTTAACTGCAGAGCAGCCGTTTTAACTTCCCAACACATCTCCTCTATAGCCATCCATTATTACATGAATTCTGTTATTTCCTCTAGTATGATGATAGTGCATGACTCGTGGGATCTTTTAATAAATAGGTAACAAAATACATAATAAGTCAATACAGACCTGATGATTTATCCGGGTGTTACCAGCAGTTGGGAAATTCGGTTGTTGTTTTAGAAGCAAACCAGCAGATGGTGCTCGAAAATTAGTCGCAGGGTAACTGAGTTGTCATGGTGAATTTTCAGTTCGTTTTTTTTCTTTTCCGTTCTTTATAGTACTACTATTACACACATTTCTGAATTAAATGGAATTGTGAATAAGGATGGAAGAACAGAATACCCAACACTTTTTGGAAATCAGTCACTGAATTCTTACTATTTTTTTCATAGCAATAATTGTTTTAATTTTGTCTTTTATCTTAAAATATAAAATTTTGTCTTTTATCTTTTTCAGTTCAAATGTTAACAGTTTTGTCTTAAAACTGAGTTGGTTTGTCTGGTAGATTTAAGCATAATTGTAATAGTATTTGAGCAGTGACGGTAGATGCAGATGATAGTAATTGATTGTTTTTTTGAATAAAGTCTCTGCTTGAGCTGACGTTAAGCTCCAGTGATACATAATAATCTGAAGAGCCTTGGGAATTTTATACTCAGTACATTAACCATAAAACCTTCTGCAAATGAGA